AAAAAAAAAAAAAAAAGAAGGTATAAAGAAATTGAACAAAAAGCTAATATTCATCTTAAACTAAAAAAAATTGACATGTGATATAACAACCTCACATCTAAGCTCCTTTGGCAGTCTGTTAGCCAGAACAGCAAAGCATTCTTGCCACTGAAGGAAAGGGAGCTCTGGATTGTCCAAGCAACTGAGTAAGTTTTGAACAACCTGAAATGAAAAATTCGGTTGATTCAATACGACACTCAGTTTTGACAAATGCAGTAACTTCAGGAATTTCATACACACATGGCCAAACAATCACTTAGAAAGCATGAACTCTTCAAGTATCAATAAATTCTCTTCTGCAATAGGTAATAGAGCCAGAGGACTTTACTTCATCGATGTTATGCTCATATCCAGCAAGAATCATTCGAGCCGCATTTAAACTTGCAGCACATCTTTGATGAACTTTTCCAGATATGGCAGTTGGAGGTCCTAAAATGGGGAAGCTACCATGGAAAGGTTCTGCCTTTCGTACAGCAGAGGGATCATCTAAATCAAGTCTTGCTATAAGCTCTCCAGCCTACAAATTATTTGCCACTTTAGTAATGTAGTGGAAGAGCAGAGTAATTGATCCAACTGAAACAACTTTTACCTGCATTGCTTGACCTTCTGCCATCTGAAAATGAATTTTTCCAGATGCAGGTGAAAGAAGGGGCATGCACATCTTCATAACCTCGACTTCTGCATAGGGCTTGTCAGCTTCGACATGGCTTCCATCTGCAACCAGGTACCTAAGTAGCTTGCATGGTGTCTCTGCAACCAGCTTGGATGGATCATGATCATTCTGAACACAAGGTTACCTAATCAAGTCTCCAAATATACAGAGGGCTTAATTGGTATACCATTGAATTGGAATAAGTTGAACCTGAAGTAAGCAAGTCCTCCCATCAATAAGAAGACGTGTTCCAGCTGCTTCCTCTTCTGCATATATAACATGACTGTTCCCGTCCAGCTGCAGCAACCAGAATAACCAGTCTCCAGATTTAATAGGTGATGAATTTGATTAACTGATACAAAAAAATAATTCTAGACATAAACTATAAGATGAGATCACCAAAGTATCAGGATCTTATTGAGATTCCTAGAGTGGTCAACTGCTTGCCTGCATTAGTAGTCCTCCATCGCGTAGAGTGTGTATTTCAGCTTCAACCTCTGAATCATTCATCCTCAATTTATAGCTTCCAGGACCTCCTCTTACCATATTGATCTATAAAAGATAAAATGATTTAAAAAATTAAAACTAAAGAAACAACCTTCTCCTACTAAATCATCTAGAGGAAATTCAGTGCTCCTCGTTCTCAACATATATATATGTAAAGGCAGCACTCAGCTCTAACCATAGTATTATTAAAATATTTACACCTTTCGTTCATATTCAATAAAATGTTTGCACTTACTGTGTACTTGCTTCCTTCAATGTTCAGTGAAACCTGAGAATTCACCAGCGAAATATGCTGCACGGGGGACATGTCAATAATTTAATGTGACTGCAAATATAAAACTTAACTAAAAAGATACGCAAGATGATGTACCTTCGGGGGAATTTGTCCTTTTTCAAGATAACCAACATACTCCGAAACCGTGGCAGCACTACTCGCAGCAGCTTTCTGATGTGAAAATATGAAGACAACATATTAGTGTTAACGATTACATGTATATAACATAAAAGGTATGCATTGAGCAATTACAAATAATTATTTCAAGTGCGAAAAGACTAAGAGCATATGCTTACATAAAGAGCTCCTCCAACCACTGAAAGATACCAAGGGGGCCTTTCTGCTCTGACTCTCATTGCAATTCTGCTATCCAGCCATCCTGTGTGGATTTTGTTTTCCTTGTAATCTAAAGCCTACATATTCATATGAAAAATATAAATCTCTTTCTCAAATATTACATCCTAAAGAAATTTGAATGGAACTTGATATCTGATATGCTCACATGTAAGAGATCAATGGTGTAATCGACATTTGTACGAATTTCGCCTCTAATTTGGATCTCTTTAAGGCCAAGTACCATATTAGCGATGGCCAAAGGTCGGGATTCTCCAAAAGCAAAGACATGGCCTGAGATAAAAAGAAAGAATTTATATGAACCACTATTTCTAGTAAACTAAAGAATACACAGTGAATACAGACTATGAAAAACACATCCAACACTGGTAAACACCTCAGCTGAAACATACACATGCATACCCATGTTCATATTAATAGAACAAGTATAGGGGGTTGCTCGGAACCATACAAGGAATGACAACTGTCTCTTATTACTTAATTATCTCATGTTGAGCCATGTTCATTTGATATGATTAAGAAAATTCCAGATCAAATTACCAGGTCCAGGATTCAAAAATCATTATATATATATATATACATATATATATATATATGTGTGTGTGTGTGTGTGTGTGTGTGAATAAACAAGTAAATGGACCAACTTATGGAGTAAAGTATCGACCATGCAAATATGCACCCGAATTAAATTTATGATATATTTTGATGTTCTCATTTCTGAATTTTTAAGATAGCTGAGATATATTGACTAATTACAAACCGCGAGAGACGCTGTAGATAAATAATCTTTGTTGATAAAATGGATAGAACTATATAACTAATGAATAATCTTCAAAAAGACATGAAATTCTTTTCAAATAAGATTTTCTGAATATAGGTTCAGAATTAGCTTTAAACATTTGTTGCAGGCTTGTCATCCACAAATTAAAGGTCTTGAGTAACAACACAATAAAGACTAATCTCATCCACACGTCCACATTAGAAGGGAAGCACATGCTGGGAGTAGAGCAAGAGGTCATGACATATATACACAACTATATTATATAACTAGTCATACTCCGCCAACTGGATATCATTTTTTTGTAAAAAGGCCTCAACACACTTCCAAACTTACCAAATTGGGAATCTGAAAATTCATGAATACCACCTCCAGACTGCAAGATTCAGATGTTAATCAGAAGCAGCTTAATTTTTTTTTTTTTAAATGTTTATTCAGA